CTCCATCCCTCATCCAGAGGCGGCCTGTTCAGGGACACAGAATCCCGGGATGTGATTCCATGGAGGTGCTTTTATTGAGAACTCTGGGAATCGGGGCTACAGACCCAAATCTGACACTCCAACACGGCTTTAGAGCTGAACGTATTTTATATTCTATCCCTCTATAACTTATATATTAACTATTAAATTTGCATTTTTTAGAAGCACACAGAATCCCGGGATGTGATTCCATGCAGGTGTTTTTATTGAGAACTCTGGGAATCAGGTCCAGACCCAAATCTGACTCCGACACCGCTCTTGAGCTGAATATATTTTATATTATATCCCTCTATAACTTATGTATTAATTGTTAAATTTACATTGTTTAGGAGCACACAGAACCACGGGATGTGATTCCATGCAGGTGTTTTTATTGAGAACTCTGGGAATTGGGGTTACAGACCCAAATCTGACACTCCAACACGGCTTTCGAGCTGAAAATTTTTATTTTCAGAAAGAATATTTGATATTCTATCCTTATATAACTTACATATTAACTATTAAATTTACATTGTTTAGGAGCACACAGAACCATGGGATGTGATTCCATGCCGGTGCTTTTATTGAGAACTCTGGGAATCGGGGGTACAGACCCAAATCTGACTCCGACACGGCTTTAGAGCTGAACGTGTTTTATATTCTATCATTATATAACTTATATATTATTTATATTCTATCATTATATAACTTACATATTAATTATTAAACTTATGTTGTTCTATTGTAACACATTGACACGAGTTTCTCATGATCTTTCTCAGGCCCCTGACCACAGTTTCTCATGATTATTCTTACGATTAAACAGTAATTATATTTAATTACTAAACAATCACCCCATCTAACAATTATATCATTTATCATGTACGGGTGCAGTTGTAGCAAGTTCAAGTTCTCCATGTGCTCAGGGTGTTTATTTTTCCAGGGCCTACAGAGCTTATTTTTCCTTTTAACCCGAAATCCCCACGATTTTAAAACCCTTTTACTATCCAGCCCAGCTCTTCCCGACTTTTCCAGGCCGTGCGCAGCTCCTGCTCCAGCTGCCGGCAGGGATCTGGCACCGATCCC